GTATTTATTGAATCCTGTGACCCAGGTACTACCCAAAGCACTTTATAATGTACTAACATTGGTTAGATTATCTGGCTATATACAATCAAATTTCATAGCAGAAGTGTAATGCAAACTATTTTTAAAATCCTACATAATAGGAAACAAAGAAAGCAGAAAGCAGCTTCATCCTGTCCTTTTATCTCCCTGTTATTCTCAGTGTGAGGCTTTCTCTCTAATGGTCATAAGATAGCTGATGTAGCTCCAGGTATTGCATCCAATTTCCAGGCAGAATATAGGGGAATGGTGAACTGGAAAAGGCTTCTACCAGCTGAGACTTTGCCTTTTTATTGGGGAGAAACTTTCCTCAAGGCTTCAGCCAATAGATTTCTGCTTATATCTCACTGGTTAGAATGGTGCCACATATCCACTCTTCAAGGACTACTAGGAAATCAAGTTTTGTTGAACAAAATTGGTATTGTTGGTAAGGCAAAAGGGAGAATGGACATTGGTTAGGCTACTATCAGTGACTGCCACAATATGTATGAATTCATTTTTTATATACCCAATAAGGTCAGTGCTATTATGATTCGTACTAGTTTTGTAGATCAAGTGGTGGTCACAAAGATTTTGTGATTTTATCTGATTTATACACACAGCTATTAAGTAGTGGAGGTAGAATTGGAATCCAAACAAGGTGACTTTAGAATCTAATTTTGTATTGTTCCTACATGCACCTGATCCATGAGCCACACCGTATTTCTTCTCTAGGATGTGCATCTACTCCTGAAATGTAGGTCTCTTCTATACAGCGAAGCTAATATTAGTTTTTTTACCAGTTCTGGGACTTGAATTCAGGGCTTGGGCACTGTCCTTGAGCTTCTTTTGCTCAAGAATATAACTCTACCACTTGAGCCACAGCGCCACTTCTGGCTTTTTCTGTGTATGTGGTACTGAGGAATCAAACCCAGTGTTTCATGCATGCTAGGCAAGCACTCTACCACTAAGCCACATTCCCAGTCCGTGGAAGCTAATATTAGTTTAATGCCTTGTAGTTTATGAAGATATTTCCACTGAAATAATTCCTTTCAATATTGTCATTCACATTTTATGTATTGTTTAGTGTTCAGTAATAAGTAGTACAAAGGGGTTTCATATGAAAATTCCACACATGTATACAGTGCATTTTGCACTAATTCACAGTGTTATATTCCCTTATTCCCTTCTCCTGTACATTGAAAAGCACTGGTAGGTTTCATTATTCTAACCATCCATACACACACACACACACACACACACACACACACACACACACACACACACACACACACACACACACACACACACACACACACTATCTGTGATATATTTTGATTTTGTTTCACAACATGGATCCTAACCATCCATCCATACACACACACACACACACACACACACACACACACACACACACACAGTATCTGTGATATATTTTGATTTTGTTTCACAACATGGATCCCATTGCCCCAACAATACCCCATTTGTACTGAAGCCCAATGATTGGCATCTTTACCTACTCCTGACTTCCTCTCATAGTCTACCTACTTGTCGTTTGCACTTTCACATTCTTGTAAAATTACTCAATTTTATCAGGCTAGAACCATCAAGATGGTTGTCAGGCTTTTTTTTTTTTTTTCAGTCGTGGGACTTGAACAACTCTGGGCCTGGGAGCTGTCCCTTCAGTTCTTTAGCTCAAGGCTAGTGCTCTACCACTTGAGCTGCAGCGCCACTTCTGGTTTTCTAGAGGTTAGTTGGAGATAAGAGTCTCATGGACTTTCCTGCCCCGGCTGGCTTTGAACCATGATCCTCAGATCTCAGCCCCCCAGTAGCTAGGATTACAGGCATGAGCAACCATCACCTGGCTATCAGGCTTTTTTTTTTTTAGCTGGAAGTAGGGTTTGAACTTAGGGCCTTGCATTAGTGAATCTGGTGTAATATGGTTGAGTCATGCCTCCAGCCTTGTTTTTTACTGATAGGCTCTTCCCACCTTTGTGTGTGCCTTAGCAGTAATCTACCTACTCTAGGCTTCTCATCATAACTGAGGTCATAGGTGTGTGCCACTGCATCCAGTTTTCCCTCCTTGGAGATAATGTCACAATCTTTTCTACCACATCTGGTTTTTGTTCTGTAGTGATACTGTCATAGTCTTTTCTGCCCTATCTGTCCTGGTACAACGATCCTTCCTGTCTCAATCTCTTATGTAGCTTGGAATGGCAGGGTAAGCTACCGGTGCCTAGTTGTTGTCAGTTTGTCTTGTTGAAGCGTTTGGAACAATACTGAGTACAAAATAGATGCACAACTGTTTGTTGAATACATGAATGAAACCAAAGTGAGAGTAAGTTTCCTAAAACAAAATACTTTAAAAATGTCCTCCAAAGGCTTGCCTGTGAACTCTTAGCCATCTAAAGCAGTAGTAGGTAGATTTTGGAGAAGAAAGCTATGGATCTTTCTCCGGCTATGCTTTAGCTAGTAGTTTTGACATTCTCCTAAGAAACAAACTGTTCATTATTTTCCCTGCTTATGAACACAAAAATGGTTGATAAGGGTCAGTGGTGGGCAAGAGAAAAAGTGAACGTAGAATCTGCCTGATGAGAGGTCTCTCATCTAGATTGTGTTGCTCACATTCCGTTGGCAGCTGCTATCATGTCTACATCCTACATTGTGTGGTTGTCAAGGTAACTTGTTAATACATCATTCTATAATTTTCCTCTGGAAGCTTCCAGAGATGACTAAGTAAAGCTCTTTGAAGAAGGACTTAGTATAGGATACATTGTGTGCTGAGCTTACAGATCAGACCTGAAGACTCACTAACCAGAAATGTGAAATTTTAGGAGTCCCTTTCCCCATTGAGCCAAGGTGGAAGGGATAAAACCCAGAGGAATGATTGTAATAGATAATAAAGTTTGACAACCGCAGGTCTGTGTGGCATTAGGCAAGTTTGTTAACTTCCTCTCATATTGTGTAAATACTAGATACTTTTAATGGCTTCTTCAGCAGCTTTAAATGCCTGATTCTTCTATTAAATATCATTCCAAAATAATCCTATCTTTCTTTCCTCCCCTTCTTTTTCCTCCCCTTCTTCCTTTTCTTCTTCTTCTCTTCTCCTGAACAAATATGCTCAGAGCGTGTAGTATGTGGGTAGTAGATTTGTAGTGACCCTGAATGATCTAAAGTAGAATGCCATAAGGCTTCTTTTGCCTTTAGACTTGATTTTATAAACATTTTTGATATTATGATATAGAGAAAAAGGACATGGTAAACATTAAAATTACCAAAATTAAAATAATTCAAAGGATAAGAGAGTTAATTAATTCAATATGTAATTGGGCCAGGTCTTGGTCAGAAAACTTAGTTATTAAAGTTATTGTTTTAAAAATATGCTCATGCTGTGTGTACACATACAGGCAATACATATAAACATATATATTTAGTCCTAGGGCATAAGACATGCTAAGCACATGCTTTACCACTAAGTTATGCCCCAGCCTTATTTTTGCTCATTTTGTTTTCTTTCTTTAGTAGAGTTGAATCCTTCCAACTTTGAGTATGGTAGTAATGAAAAAATAGATATAGGGGCTGAGAAGGTGGCTCAGTGGTAGAGCGCTTGCCTTGCATGCATGAGGCCCTGGGTTCAATTCCTCAGCACCACATAAGCAGAAAAAAAACAAAGCCGGAAGTGGCACTGTGGCTCAAGTGGTAGAGGGCTAGCCTTGAGCTGAAGAGCTGAGGGACAGCGCCCAGGCCCAGAGTTCAGGCCCCACGACCCCCCCCCCAAAAAAAAATAGATATATCTGGAAGACTGTACAGAAAGTTGTGCTCTGACTTTTATACTAAAAGATATAAATTGATTTGGTCAGACTACTTTTGAGGTTCCCCAGATAAGAAAAACACCCCCAAAAGTCTTGAGACAGTATACTACAGAGAAATTTTGATAAAAACCCCTGGTCAGTAGAGTAGGCCTAGAATGCATGATGGGAAACTAATTTGGAGGAGCTTTAGCAATACCTAGAGAGCTTGCTTTAGAAGGGCACACTCAGATTATACAGTTTCTGAATTTATTATTTTTTTTGGTGGGTCATGGGGATTGAACTCTGGGCCTGCGCGCTGTTTCTCTGAGCCCTTCTTTATTTCCTTCTTCTCTCAGTTCCTGGCTGCATTCTATCTAAATTTGTATTTTTCATGGCTTCCATCTATGTTGTTATATGTAACTGTATTTCATTCCTTTATATTGTTAAATAACCCCATTGTGGGAATGTCATATTATGTTTATTCATTCATTCCAAACTAACTAGTATAAAAAAGGGCTAAAATTAAGGCTCAGCAGTAGAATTTATGCTTAGTCAGTATGGGTTCAAACCCACTCAAATTAGGACCTGTGTTCAAACCCGAGTACTGTACTGACCAAAAACAGAAAAACAGATAACTAAGCATGGCTGTCTACTTTCAAAAACGTATTACTCACAACTACTAATAAAAAAAAGTCCAGTGAACAGAGAACATTGAATGTGTTACTTGCTTACCAAACTAAGCACTGACTTCCTTTTGAAATTGGGGTAGGGATTCCTGCAAGGAGTTGAACATGAGCCAGGCAAAGATGGAAGTGGGGGAATGAGCACCCCTCTCCTCCTGTGTATGGGGGGAGTAGAAAGGATAATGCATGTGAAGTGTCCAGCTAGTGCCAGGCACATAGTAGGCATTCAGTAAATAGTGGCTAAGGGAGGGAACATATGATAGGATTAGGGGATAAAGTAACTGGCCCAGATTTTGGATTGAGAGAGGTGAGTTTATGCAAGGTAAATAACTTGGAGAGACATATGATCACACTCATTGTTATAGTGTTTTGTGTAGTTATGATTTTGGAATCTTGTAATGATTTCATTTTTTACTGAAGCATGTATTTGTGTGCATGTTAACTGTATTTTTTCTGACTTTCATATCCTGTGGGTCTGCAGTGGTGAAAGCTGCATTGGTCATCCAGAAGAGGTATCGAGGTTACAGAGCTCGATTGAAGGCCAGAGAGTATTGTGCCCTTGCCGTATTCCAGTCCCTTGAATATGCTGATGAACAACGGCAAATGCAGGTCTGTTTTGCAAGGCTGTCTCTCTCTGCTCCCTACTATTAAAGTGCTTCTCTTTGCCTCCTGTTGTTGAAAGAATGGAAGTTTGGGTCCATTTTAAGCTGAGGAATTTTGGTTAGAGTCTTTAATATAGACGGTAGCATCAGCTGGGTGCCGGTGGCTCACGCCTGTAATCCTAGCTACAAAGGAGGCTGAGTCTGAGGATCTATGTTCAAGGCCAGCCCCAGCAGGAAAGTCTGTTGAGACTCTTATCTCCAGAAAACCACTAGAAAACCAGAAGTAGTGCTTGGCTCAAGTGGTAGAGTGCTCACCTTGAACTGAAGAGCTGAGGGACAGTGTCCAGGCCCAGAGTTCAAGCCCCACGACCGAACCCCCCCCCCCCCCAACACTGTCTTCGAACTAGTGTTTTTTTAAGGAGCCACATTTTCTTAATACTAGAGACTATCATTTGGGAAGAAAGTGGTGGTTTCCAGTTTAGAAGTTGATTTTTTTCCAGAGCACTTCATAGTATCTAGCTAAGTAATAGAGATAGCCTTATCCTATTTTTGGGTATGTGCCCTAGTGGGAACTAAAGTTGTTACTTTATGGAAAGAAAGGATACTTTAAGATTAAAAAAAATGAAAGAATTTCCTGTGAATAAATTTACCTAAGTTCTATAAGAAAAAAATATGTGTGAGGGAGGAATACCTTTTTAAAGCCTCCAATATGAATTCAGAAATCCCTCTTTAATACTCGCTAATAAAAGGGCACTTTTAGCAGTAGAGAAGATGTCAGACAGAGGGCCAGTATCGTTGTTAATGAAGAAAATGAACTTGTAGAATCACATGTAGACTTTATCCCACAGATGTGAAAGAAAATTAAACGCACAGGGAGAATGTGGAAAGAGGTATCCAGCAAATTTGTTTGCTATGGTTAGTTCTGGGAGTAGTATTGATGGGTAAATATGGATGTCAAGAAGGACTTGTCACTTTTAGTAACAGATTCTAATCTTTAAAAAATAGTTGGTGTTTGAAAACAAGATAAATGGGTGGGCTTCTTCTTGTCTGCTCTTAAAAAGATACACTGGGACTTAGTCAAAGAATCCTTTTTTTCCTGATTAAGAGCTCGCAATGTTGGCTGTCTTTTATTTTTAATTTTTTTGTCGGTCATGGGGCTTGAACTCTGGGCTTGAACTCAGCTCAGGGTGAGCGCTCTACCATTTGAGTCATAGTGCCACTTCTGGTTTTCTGGTGATTTACTGGAGATAAGAGTCTCACGGATTTTCCTGCCTGGGCTGGCTTTGAACCACGATCCTCAGATCTCAGCCTCCTTAGTAGCTAGGATTACAAGTGTGAGCCATCAGTGCCCGGCAGTTGGCTGTCTTTTTAAACACTACTTAATCTCACCATCAAAGAGAAAAGAGTCACAACTAATCCAGCAGTCCCACTTGGAGATATATATATATATATATATATATATATATATATATATATATATATATATATATATATATATATGATAGATATAGATTTGTATAAATAGATTTATCTATCTATTTATCTATATATACCTACAGATAGATATAGATAGATAGATATAAAGAAAATACAGATAAGCAAAAAGTTTATCTTAGGTTAGATCTCCTGGAGGCAGAGTGAGACAGAGTCTGATATAAGCGACTTACTGAGACTGAAAGAATGTTCTCAGGAGAAACCTTTAAGGGAGTGAGGAAGGAAAGCAAGCTAGGATGGCAGGGGAAGCTTTCAGAGAAGTATGACTCAGCCCGATTTCATCGGGAGACCTCAAGTGTGAAATGAATTACAGATTGTCTCATGCGTAGGCAGAAGGTGGGGGAAGGGGCTGCTGTGCTTTTGCCTCTGTCACTTGTTGTCTATGGCCATCCTGCCAGCAGAGATGGACGTGTAATATCCCGTGCTGCTTAGTATGGTGCTGCCCATCTACAAGGGCAGGGATGTGTGGCACCTGAGCCTCTGTAGCAGCAGGTAGGTGAATGCCTCAGAGTAGAAAACTGGCAGGGAACTGGCAGCATTTTTCACAGTAGATGTTTGGGCTTCATTAATTGATTTATACATTTTTATTTTATCCAGTTATCGAGTATCTTTTCCTTCATGTTGGAAAATTATACACCTATATATAAAGAAAATAGAGGTAAGCAAAAAGTTATGTTTTGAACTAGTCATTAGATACTGAATTATTCTCATTAAGAAATGCAGTTCCTTTAGAAGGCTATCTTTTTCATTTCTCAGCTTTCTCCTATCTTTATGTGACACCTCACAACTAGTGAAATCACCTTGACTGGATTTTTTGTATGGTGTCTGCTAAGTTGATTTATTATTTTTTACTTTTCAAAAAAAAGAACAGATGGGCTGGGAAGTTGGCTCAGTGGTAGAGCGCTTGTCTTGCATGCCTGAGGGCCCTGGGTTCGATTCATCAGCACCACATAAGCAAAAAGAAAAAAGCTGGAAGTGGCGCTGTGGCTAAAGTGGTAGAGCGCTAGCCTTGAGCTGAAGAGCTGAGGGAGAGCACCCAGGCCCAGAGTTCAGGCCCCACGACCGGACCCAAAAAAAGAGAACAGATTTCATTCAGCATCCATTAGCTGAATATCTCTCTTGAATCACAATCTTTGGATACAGAACAGTAGCTTAGGAAGTATGATCTAATTTTTTACTCAAAAACTCTCCTGCTGAGAAATCAAAATATTTGGAATACTTCATATGGTGGGTCAGATTAAAAATGGCAGATTAAATGTAACTGACACCGACATACTTCTGTTTTCTTCTCTTGTGTGTCTGTGTGTCTTCTTTGGTTTGAATATATTCCTACTTCCAAGAATTCATGTGTTGCAACAGTACAGAAAAGTTGGACCTTTAGAAGATAATCAAGGCATGAGACCCTGTCCTCATGAATGGATTAATACCATTATCGTGAGAGTGAATTTGTTGCCTAGACAGTGTTGTCCTTATGAAATGACCTGTCATCTCTTTTTTGTACATGCATGTTCTGACTTATGACATGGCAAGAAGGCCTTCACTAGTCATTGCTCCCTTGGTGTTGGACTTTCCAGTCTCCTGATCCCATAGCTGAATACATTTATGTACATTACAAATTATCCAATCTGCTGTATTCTATTATAGCAGCAAAAACTGACTAAATAACTATAACCTCACTCTTTTTCTATCATCTACCTGGCTACTGTGAACCAGAGACTTGGCAATATAGGTGTAGTACAAATAGTTTTAAAATTACAACTATTCACAACGCATGCATTTTCCTGCAAATTAAGATCTTCCTCAACCACTTTGGAAAGCAGTATGAAGGTTCCTCAAAAGACTCCACATAGAGCTCCCCTATGACCCAGCAATCCCACTTTTGGGCATTTACCCAAGTGGTCACAAACAAGACCACACTAAAGTTACCAGCACGACTATGTTTATTGCAGCATTATTTATCATAGCTAAGATATGGAACCATCCCAGATGCCCCTCAGTAAATGAATGGATCAAGAAAATGTGGTATATATACACAATGGAATTCTATGCCTCCATCAGAAAGAATGACATTGCCCCATTTGTTAGGAAATGGAAAGACTTGGAAAAAATTATATTAAGTGAAGTAAGCCAGGCCCAAAGAAACATAGGTCCCATGGTCTCCCTATTTGCAATAACTAGTATATGTCTGAGTCAAGCAGAAAAAGTCAAATAAGTTGATGTTAGGGAAATGAACCCTAAGATATGTATTCAAATGTTTTTTTCTTTCATGCGATTGTTTCTAACACATTCATAAGATTATTTCTTTGTTGCTTTGTATGTCCCTCCCACTTATAACCCCTGCTTTCACTGTATTTGATGTTGCTATAATTTGTGGAGGGGAAGGGAAAAAACAAATCGTTTAAATAGAGATATAGGTGGACTCATTGCAACAATGAAATGTACAAGTCGTTATGTCCAAAATGAACTTTACAACTTTGGTGGTGGTGGGGGAGGAGGATTGGGTGAGGGGGAGGATGGGAAGGGAAACAAAGGAGGAGGTTACAATGCTTGATAAGAAATGTACTCATTATCTTGCCCATGTAATTGTAACCCCTCTGTATAGTATTTTCACACACACACAAAAAAAGATCTTCCTATGGTTATCTTGGAAGTGAATATAGACCTAAAAGCCCATTTTTCTTTCATTTGAGCTAATAATTTTGGTTTAATTAAACCATACCTTAGTTAGGTTTAAGTAATCTGATACGTACCCTTCAACAGAGTGAAAAAAATAACAATTTTTTTGGTGCTGATCCTGGACCTTGAACTCAGCCTGGACACTGACCCTGAGATTTTTGCTCAAGGTTAGCACTCTACCACTTGAGCTATAGCTCTATTTCTGGCTTTTTTTTCTTTTTTTGGGGGGGAGGGAGGTCCGGTCGTAAGCCTAAACTATGGGCCTGGGCGCTGTCCCTCAGCTCTTCACCTCAAGGCTAGTGCTCTACCACTTGAGCCACAGCGCTACTTCCGGCATTTTTTTTTCCTGCTTATGTGGTGCTGAGGAATTGAACCCAGGGCCTCATGCATGCAAGGCAAGTGCTCTACCACTGAGCCACCTTCCCAGCTGTGGCTTTTTTTCCCTTAATTGGAGTTTTCCTTAACCAGACTGGCTTTGAACTATGATTGTCACTTTTCAACCTACTGATTAGCTAGGATTACAGGTATGTGCCACCAGTGCCTGGCAAGGATGGTATTTTAATGTCATGATTTGCACTAAGTACATATGTATGTACATAATTAAAGCATGTAATGGCTTGTTGAAGCTTGCTTGCTCTTTTTTTTTTTTTTCAGAGTTGAGGACCAAACTCAGGGCCTTGCATTTGTCAGGCAAGGGCTCTCCCACTAAAAAAAAAAAATTCCAAACCCCTTCATCAAAACATTCTGAATAGTTAACTACCCAACCATGATGAGTGGGTGGAAAGTTGTTTGCTTTTAACATTCTTTAGCTTGAAGTAATTGTTATAAATTTCAAACAAAATCTAGATGAGAAAAATGGCCTCTTTCTAATAAAATTGAAGATAGATATTTTTCATCCTAAAATCCACATGTTATCAAATACTATGGTCTGGTCATCAAAAACATTGTGGGTGATACAACAATTTTGAAAGTTTCCAAATATGACCTACTTTAGAAAAAGTTTTTCTTAATTGTAATTTCTCTACATAGCTGGATAGTGAAAAAATTTATTCTGTCCACTTGTGCTAACATCATATGTTCCAAACAGGACCTCTGTAAGTATTCAATATGATAGAAACTTTTCAGGGAATGTCTTGGAAAGAAGTTAGTATTGAATATGTCATCATCCTCTGAGTCAGTTATAACTTACTGTAGTAATATAGTGTATTAACTACATTTTTTTCCTAACCATTCTATAGATTAGCTGAGTATTTCTGGAGATTTTGGTGTACTTGATTTGTCAGTTTTAGGGCTCTTGGCTGGAGTATACTCATGATCAACTTGAGATTTGCTAGCTATTGGCTAATATAGTATTGCCTCAGCTAGGATGATTCACCTGTGTTCCACATGGTTTTGACCTTTTGGTAGGCTAACGTAGGCCTTGTGGCAGGATTCTAAAAGAGCAAGCCTGGAGCTATACACAGCTTCCTGAGACCTAAGTGTGGAACTGGTACAATCCCTTCTTCCATATTTTTCAGGCCCACAGAAGTTATAAGCCCAGCCCATTTTGAGGGGATGAGCAAATCGACTCTTGATGAAAATAGCTGAAAATCACATTAAAAATGGGTTCAAAATGCAGTCATGCTATTCAGTATACAGTATGTAGAAAATGGCTTATGTAACTTGTGGGAAGAGATGGGAGGGGGAATGATATCTGTGAATATCCCAGAATCAGTTGTTCCTCAGGATTGTCCCCATATGCGATATCTTGATATTCATAACATTTAGCACGGTGTCTTACATGGCTTAAGTATATAAGATCTTTGCTAAATTGAAGTACAGCAATCATGATTCTCACTCTGGTGCCTCTTTGTCTTTCCTTTTCCAGTATTAGCAGATCAACATATTGAAAACAACTTCCGGGAATTTCAGGACAGACAATACAATGTGGAGATGGTACAAGTTCCCCAGTCCTACAATGGTCCTCGGCTAAAATTTCCTTTCACTTTTAGTGATATTGATGTACTTATTAGGGCCTACAAAAACCAACAGGCAAGTTGAACAGAAGCTGCCCTGATTTTCATTTTCAACTGATGATTATTGTCATTATTTTGGCTGCATACTTCCTTAGGGCAAGTGAGCATCAATTCCCCCATTACTTTTCCTGGACTGTTAAGGGCCAAGAATAGCCAGAATTACTCTGCAAATGGATATTCATGAAGAACATGCAAATATATTAACATCTCATATTTCCCATACTGTCACATGGAAAGAATGTCAACTAGTTTAAATTCCACATGCTACTGCTGGAGCTAATTCTCTAAAACCCAGCTATGGTTGACCCAAGTCTGATGATGCCCCTGTCAGCCTGGCCTTTGGGGGCTGAAGCAAGAAGATTATTTAGAACATTCACTCATTCAGTCAGTCACAAATACGTCCTGCGGGTTTTTTAATATGCCATACACTTTGCTAGAACCATCAATTTGGGAACCATTTAGAGGGTATCTTGAAATGCATCGGCCTAAATGTCTTCATCTACTTCATTTTCAGAGTTTTCTATGTGTCTGTGTCTATGTATTCATTAGGTCTATTTCCTCTGGTTTCCCCTCACAGGTACTCCATGCCCACTATGTCTTAGAGGTGCTATTTGAAACCAAGAAAGCCCTGAAGAAAATGCCGAATTTGACATATACCAACTCTTCTCCCTTCAAAGACATAACAATATGTGGTAAGTTTTAGAGGAAAAATTTCAAATGAATATTCAGGAGCTTTTTGATCCTGTGTTGTATCATTTACCTGATTTGAAAAGTGCATCATTTGAACGGGGTTAGGGGAAAATGCTAGTTTAGATTATCTACTATAATACTATTGTTACCCATCTTGTCTTTATTTTGTGTTTATTTCACCAGCTGGTAGGAATTAATTATGTGAGAAATGAAAGAATGGATAACATTTAACATGGAAAATAATCCATGAGTGGAGAAAGCCTCTTTTCCCCGTGACTAGCTCTGATTATCTTCGTTTCATGTCACTTTGTTGGGAAGAGAACCCAAGGCAGGGTTGAGATGAAATTCTTTTCTGTCCTTGACTACTGTTTTAGACTTTTTTCTTACTTGGTCCCTGCAGCTTTTGAAAGAGTGTGAATGTCCCAGAAATCTGTTTCTTGTTCTTCTATATAACAAGATTTGAGATTTTGGTATCATATAGTCTAACCTGGCAGGCTATTGCTTGAAGAAACAGTACACATTGAAATTCATTACATTTGGTGCTTAGTGGGCTTGTAAATGTTTTCGAGTGGGGTGTATACAAGGAACAATTCCCTTAACTTCTAAGTAAGCCTTTAGGTTATCAAACTGGTTGTTATTTTCCAGATTAATTGAACTTGCTTCTTTATACTGACAGGTAAAAGTCAATTTGATAATCTAATTAAACCATTTCCATGTCTAGCATCTGATAGTGATGATAGCAGTACATCCTCAGGAAATGTCATGACTCAGATTTTTGAAATATCTCAAGGTTCAGTTCCAACCTAATGGGGCCACTACAGCTCTCTAGCATATGGTACATCTCAGCATGATGGCCTAAAGAATAAAGAATTGGAGGCCATAAGGCTTACGAAGCCATTCCATTTTGGGAAGCCTCTGAAGCCAGGGTTAGTCTTACTATCTGATTATACGTAACAGCCACAACACAGTGGGATCAGCTCCTGTGTTATACCTTTAGTTGCCATTATACCTTTAGTTGCCATCACAGACGCAGAAAGAGACATATTTTCCTGGAAATATCACAAGAGTCACATAGTCACTTTTTTTGTGTCAGTCATGAGGCTTGAACTCGAGGCCTGAGTGCTGTCCCTGAGCTCTTCAGCTCAAGGCTAGCACTCTACCACTTGAACCACAGAGCAAATTCCATTTTTTTCTGGTGGTTCATTGGAGATAAAAATCTCACGGACTTTCCTGCCTGGGCTAACTTTGAACAGAGATCCTCAGATTTCAGCCTCCTGAGTAGCTAGGATTATAGGCATGAACCACCGGTACCTAGCTCACTCTTATTATTTTTTTGGGTCCAGTCGTGGGGCCTGAGCTCTGGGCCTGGGCGCTCTCCCTCAGCTCTTCAGCTCAAGGCTAGCGTTCTACCACTTGAGCCACAGTGCCACTTCCAGCTTTTTTTCTTTTTGCTTATGTGGTGCTGAGGAATCGAACCCAGGGTCTCATGCATGCAAGGCAAGCGCTCTACTACTGAGCCACCTTCCCAGCCCTCACTCTTATTTTTTAATCAATGTTTTGATATATTTGTATGGTTTCCTTTAGTTTATATCATATTTATTTCCTATTTCTCCCTCATCAAAATAATGTCAGTTATCTACTAACAAAGTTTAAATTATATATGCTTTTGCTGGAGCTTATTGTCTAAAACTCTTCAAGTGTCATGTATTAGCCAGGTATGATGGTGCCCTTGTAAGCCTGGCATTTGGGAGCCTCAGCCTCTATGTACTATGATTGCAGGCATGGACCGCCATGTCTAGACTCTAAATGCTTGAATTATGAAAAGTGCTGCTGGGCTTGAATTCCAGCCCTTATATTTTTTAGCTGAGTAGCTGAATGTAGAGTTACTTAGCTACTTTTGATCTCATTTGGAAAATAAGAATGGTGAAAATAGTATTCATTTTATAGAAAATAAGGATTGATAAAATTGTGAAAGTATAACCATCATCATAGTTTTTGGTTCAGAGTACATGAATATCTGTGCAAATACTGGAGTGAATAGTAGCATATACTGCCCCCTCCTACAGGAGAGCAGAAGAAAATAGTAACATGAAAACAAATTATGAGCTGAATTAATATCATAGGGTAAAATCTCAATGTTCTGAGAACATTTGGAGTATTGAATGTTTAAATTTCTGTAAAGAAAATAAGCATTGCATCTTGTTTCCTACAGAATAGTGATTTTTTTTCATTTGCATTTCAGGTGATTTGCATGGACACCTAGATGATCTTTTATTGGTCTTCCATAAGGTAAATGATTATTTTGCTAAGTATTTGTACTTTTATTGGTAGGTGGGGAGTAGTCCAAGGGAAGATGACAGTATTAATTTTTTTGTTGGTTGGTTGTGGTGCTTGAACAATGGGCCTGGGCGCTCTCCCTCAGCTCTTCAGCTCAAGGCCAGCGCTCTACCACTTGAGCCACAGCACCACTTCCAGTTTTGTGGTGGTTAATTGGAGATAAGAGTCTCATGGACTTTTCTTTCTGGGCTGTCTTTGAACCACGACCCTCAGATCTCAGCCTCCTGAGTAGCTAGGATTATAGGCGTGAGCCACCAGTTTAGGTCTAATTGATTGTTTTTGTGATTATGCTTTCCTGAGAGGTAAACGTGAAAACCACTACACTACAGAAACTTGTGATTATGCTTTCTAAGTGAAGTGTACTTGATAAAGAGGGAAGTAGTCTTTTATTTTTTGTTTGTATATAAATAAAATAAAATGAGGCTAGAGCACTACATTACTTGAGGCGTGTCTGGAGGCTTTTATGCTTTTAGTTATTTCTCAATGGTGTCTATCTTCCATCTACCGCAATGGCATCATATCACAATGCTCTATGCAACCTGGATAGTCTGGATTAGTGGCCGGAGCCAGCACATGCATCTTGTTCTTTGAGAGAGAGGTTTCACTAACTTTTATTCTGGGCTGGTTTCAAACCATCTAATCCCTGCCTCCTGCATACCTGTGATTACAGACATGTACTACCATGCCAGGTTTGTTTGCTTAAGTGCTGGTTCCAGGGCTTGGACTCAAGGCCAGGGTTCTCTCCTTGAGCTTTCTTGTTGAAGGCTAGTGCTCTACCACTTGAGCCATAGCTCTTCTAGCTTTTTTGGTTGTTTTAGTGGAGATAAGAGTTTCACAGAGAAGCCTAGCACTGGTGTCTCATTCCTGTAAATCCTAGCTATTCAGGAAGCTGAGATCTGAGGATCATAGTTCAAAGTCAGCCCAGGCAGGAAAGTCCATGAAACTCTTATCTCCAATTGACCAGCAAAAAACTGGAAGTGGGGAGCACTAGCCTTGAGCTGAAGAGCTGAGGGACAGAACCCAGCCCAGAGTTCAAGCCTCACAACTGACAAAAAATAAAACCCCCCAAAACAAGAGTCCTACAGACTTTACTGCCCTGGGTGTCTTTGAAGCACAATCTTCAGATCTCAGCCTCCTGAGTAACTAGAATTATAGGCATGAGCCACCTGCACTCATCCTTACTTTTACTTTGTTCAGAAATGTACATGTCACATAAAAATATGCTAATTATGTATGAAAGAGCTTTCCTATACTAAGTTCCAAATTTTCTGCCTTCTCTATCTTCCTCACAATTGATGCAAATAAATGTCCATTTAAATTACTGCATCCAGCAAAGGTATCCTTTACAATTGAAGTAGAAGTAAAAACCTTCCATAATAAAATCCAAGGAATTCATGACCATTATACAAACACTACAGAAGATACTTAGAGAAATCTTACAGAGGAGAAGATGATAAAACACAAATTTAACAACATGGATATATTAAATCTCACTAGATGAAACATTAGAAGAATGCAAACATAAGAGTGCAAAAAATGACAGTCATTTCTACATGGCTTTCAGTATTAACACTGAATATCATTGGTTTCAATTGCCCAATTAGAAGATACACAGTAGCAGATTGGATTAAAAAACAACCCAAGCCCTTGCTGCCTACAATATACATATCACTGGTAAAGACAAACAGGATTAAAGTGAAAATATATTCCCAATAACATGAACTGGTAGCAACTCAGGAGGCAGTGTGAAGCCAGCCCAGAGAAAGTCTGTGAGACTCTTTATTTCCAATTAACCACCAGAAAATCATAAATGGTTCTGTGGCTCAAAGTGGTAGAGTACTAGCACAGGGACGGTGCTCAGGCCCTGAACTCAAGTCCCATGACTCACACACACTTACACACTTTTTCTGTCTCTATCTCTGTCTCTGTCTCTCTGTCTCTCTCTATATGTATTCCCTGTTACAGACCAATGGGTCAAGAAAATGTGATATATGTATGTGTACATACACACAATGTAATTTTATGTATCCATGAATTAGAATAATATTAATTTGCAGGGAAATAGATGGACTTGGAAAAATTGTTTAGTGAAATAAGTCAGGCTCAAAGAATTCATGTTTTCTATCAAGTGGAAGTTACATCTGAAATACAGGCATATATGACGATGCATAATAAAAATGACTATATGCAGAGGTAGATTACCATGATGTAACTCTTTTGAACAATTTTTAACTAACAGTGTAACAAAATGAATGCCAGGAAGCTGAAACATGTTTTGTCTCTCAGCGGCAGGATGGGGGAGAGTGGGGACTTAAGGGAGGACAGATGAATGGAGAGAGAAAGTGTGGGAGAATATGGCCATAATACTCAATGTACATATGTGAAAATGGAAGCAAGTAACTTGTGGGGAAGGGTAGAGTTGGATAGATGGGGGAGAATGATGGAAGGGGTGACATTGATCAAGATGCATTGTACTCACAAGTGAACATGTTGGATTAAAACTAACCTTTTGTACAACTACTTAAATAAAGATAATAATTAAAAAATTAAGTGAAATTTAAAAAAGGTATTCCAAGCAAATGGAACCCAAAAACAATCAGTAGACTGATAACTGACAAAGCAGACTTCAAACCAAAATTAGAAGTAACAAAGATTATTTTATGTTCATAAAGTGACCAATCCATCAAGAAAAATTAACATATTTTCACTAAACATTGGGGCATCCAATGTCATAAAACAAATACTGTTGAATATAAAAGCACAGATATAGAGCCCAACTAGGGGTGGGGATTTTAACTTTTTTCTCCTTCTTCCACAGAATGGTCTTCCTTCAGAAACCAACTCTTATGTATTTAATGGTGACTTTGTAGATCGAGGAAAAAATTCTATAGAGATCCTAATGATCCTATTTGTGAGCTTTCTTGTCTACCCTAATAATATGCACTTGAACAGAGGAAACCATGAAGATTTTATGATGAATATAAGGTAACCTTGGCCTTTATATTTTATCTTCTATTTCTCACTCTAGAAAATACCCCCACTAGAGTTATGGGTGAGAGTAAAGAAGGAGAGGTCATGGGAAATCCCAAGGAAGAAGGTATTTTTGTTAGGCCAGGTTTGCAGATGTCGCAGGTTCTGTTGTTAGCTATTCTCTTGATTTGCCTCAGATACTATCTGAGAAACGGATTCCGAATTTCATACTGATGTGTGACTTTAAAGAAATAGTCATTGCTTCTGGCCTAGAAGTTCATGTACACTTTTGAGAATAGCTGTAACATAGCACACACTGGAGATTTGTGGAATAAAGTTCCATTAATTGATTTAAGAATTTTTTTCTGAAAGTACAATAAGTGATAAAGGTTTTCTTCATTCTTCTTTTCCTTTTCATGTTATTTTGTGAAAAGCAGATGAAAAGGAAAAGAAGATTGTTCTGGTGCAGTAAGAAAAGGTTATGGCATATCTCACACATTTAGTTCTAGGCTATTGGATATTTTGTTCAGAGTTCAGGTTTTTCCTTTGAGAGGTGGTTTTGATACCTGCCCTTAGTTTAGAGTTTCAGTTGCAGCCTCAAGGTATAAATGCAAATGTTGAGACTATGAATAACATAATGCAAGGAGTATTATCTGAGCTATAAAATAGATCAACAGTGCTATTGAAATGGCATGTTAGCATTCCATTTATCCTTTTTTTAGTAATCCTGGGGCTTGAACTCAGGGCCTAGGCACTGACCCTGAGCTTCTTTTACTCAAGGCTAGCACTCTACCACATGAGCCACAGTACCACTTCCGGCCTTTTCTGTTTATGTGGAACTGAGGAATCGAGCCCAGGGCATCATACATGCTAGGCAGGCACTCTACACTAAGCCACATTCCTAGCCCATTCCATTTGTCATTTACTTATTTTTTTAGACAGTTATAGTTACATAGTGCCTATTGTAGTCAATGACAGAGATATAGTCCTGAAATATAATTTACACCAGTAAGAAAGGCATGTTGAACATGTTTTTCAAGTGTGAGGACTTGAAGGGTAGAGGGGATTCAGCCTTGTCTGAGAGGTAATGAAAAATCTTCCCATAGAAAATTTTTTTTTTTTGGGTCCAGTCATGGAGCCTGAACTCTGGGCCTGGGTGCTGTCCCTCAGCTCTTCAGCTCAAGGCTAGTGCTCTACCACTTGAGCCCACAGTGCCACTTCCGTCTTTTTTTCTTTTTGCTTATGTGGTGCTGGGAAATCGAACCCAGGGCCTCAGGCATACAAGGCAAGCACTCTACCACTGAGCCACCTTCCCAGCCCCTCCCATAGAAATTTGACACTTACCCTGAAAGGATGACCTAGTCAATTAAGAGAGAAGCACAGAGGGAAGATAGGTAACATTGTCCCACAGTGAGGACACAACTTATTGCAGAGTTTAAGACAAGCAAGACTTTTTAATTTGAAAGAAGTTTAGCAACATAGACACATAGAATGAGGAAATAGGATATGGTACCTGATATGGTTGGAGATGTAAGAAGTGGTATGACGGTACAAAGGAATATGAGGGCTTTGTTCTAATGATGGCAGAATATTTTTGAAGAATACTGTAACTCTGTGGTTGTTTCAATGGGGTAGAGTGCACACAGGGAGGTCAGTTAGGGAATAGTTGAAGAAATAGATGATGGTTCTAATTTCCATTGGAGTGTGGCAAAGGAGGTACAGAGAAATAGATTCAAGAATTTGGGCAATGCAGGTTCTTGAAGGACTGAGGAATCAAGGATGAGCTGGCTTGAAGGAGAATGATGAGTTCAGTTTGAGGTAAGCTGATTTATATTGCTGTTGAATAGACTGTTTTGTATAGATGTCTGGAGGTCAGAAATATAGTCCGGTGTGTCACTTTGTAGGAACTAAGGCTTTACTCGAGAAAGGAGTGAGATTGTCAGGAAGAAATTAAAGAGAAGAGATGCCTTAGGACAAAATTGGAAGGAATGCTACCATTTAAGGCAAAGAATTTTCATACCAGCTAGGATGGTAGGAGGAAAACCACAAGAATTGATTTACAAAATTTAACAGTAGTTTTCCAGGAGAATATTTAGTGTTTCAGAGAAGATGAGAAAGTTTAGGTCATGAGCATTCCTTTAATGAGGACACCTTTGATGAGTTTAGCAGGAATTCATCTTGGAAAACATAAATTATACTGTAGAAGCCTGACAGGGAACAGGGTAAGGTGTGTATGAAAATGTGGAGTGTGCATGCTTTGTACCTACTTTAGCATGTTGGGTACTATGAGTACATACTAAGACAAGGAAATGTAAATGAAAAAATTTCCTTTCACTATTTCTATTAGGAAATTCTTGGTATTCAGCAACATTTATTACATGGCCTGTATCAAAGAAATAATGAAATAGTTATCTTCTAGGCTTTCCTTTGTTTTCTTCAATCTTGTCTTTTTCTCTCATCATTTGATCTACACTTTCTGGTGTGTAGAAAAAGACTTTGCTCACACAGCTCTCTCCAGCTCAAAACACTTAATAACTTTACACCACCACCTATTTCTTAATTTGCCTTATGATTTGTTTCATGAAAATCTGTTTCCTTTCCCCAAGTATCCTATAAGCTGATTGCAAGTAGGGACATAATATAGTTTCTTTTATTTTTTCCCATCATGCCAAGTAAGACTGGTAAGTAGTAGTTCCAATTGAAGTCTAGTTTCTTGTGTTCCTAGTGCTGGTGCTAGTAAATGTCATGATGGTTCCCCATTTTTGCATGACACAGATGAGTAGGAGTTATCAACAATAATATTCTCATTTTCTTTTTCTTTAGATATGGTTTCTCAAAAGAAGTCTTACATAAATACAAGGTAAGATTCATACTTTTTGCATTATTTTTGTTGTTGATACATAGAAGTGAAAAAGAGCCAGTAATGATGTGCTATTCTGAATCTGTCAATAAAATAGAAACACAGCAAGAAGCCCTGGTCATGGTATAGAGACTTTTCAAAAATTTTTAATTTTGACTTTTGTGTGTGCTCCAGCAAGGATATGAACATAGCCCATTGATTTGAAGGTATCCACCTTGATTTTGTTTTACTCAGGTATGGTAAAACAGATACACGAAGAAATGATTGTTAGCCAGGTACTAGTGGCTCATGCCTGTAATCCTGGTTACTCAGGAGGCTGAGATATGAGGATCATGAGGCAATAGGAAGTCAGCCCAAGCAGAATTTTTTGTTGTTGGTCATGGGGCTTGAACTCTCAGCCTAGGCGCTGTCCCTCAGCTCTTCAGCTCAAGGCTAGCACTCTACCACTTCAGCCACAATGCCACTTCCATTTTTCTGGTGGTTAATTGGAGATGAGTCTCACAGACTTTCCTGTCTGGGCTGGCTTTGAAACATGATCCTCAGATCTCAGCCTCCTGTAGTTAAGATTACAGGGGTGAGCCACTGACATGAAGAACTCAATAAAGCGATCCTTGGAAGTGTAGCCTGAATTGATAGGTTTGCATACTCTATTCCTATCTTATTCCTATTAGCTATCTCTGGGAAGGACATTCTCATCTTCAGGATGGTCAAGGCTTTAAGAGGTCAAAGTGTTATAAATAAAGGATTAAAATGTAATTATTAAATGTTAGCTGGTTTTTAACTGCTTGCTGACATCCTTTGAGTGATATGAAAACTGTTGTTTGTTTGGTCCATTTATTTTGACTATTCAAAATGAGATATGTCAGTAAATCAAAACTTACTCAAGCTCTTACTTAAAGGTACACGGAAGAAAAATTTTGGAAGTCTTGGAAGAAGTTTACAGTTGGCTCCCAGTGGGTACAATTATTGACAAACAAATTCTTGTCGTACATGGTGGGATATCAGAGTCCACAGACTTGAATTTACTCAACCGAATACAAAGAAGCAAAGTAAGTAGTATTTGCATGGATCTTTTTTAAAAAAAATGGAGTATATGCTTCTTTGTCATTTTGAATTGATTTATGTTTTAGTGATTGTTGTAATTATGAAAATACAAAGATTTTCCTAGAAAATCTTTGCATGATACAAAACTAAGTGGGTAATTTCTATAGGTGGAAAAAGTTTCTTAACAAATCATAATGAAAGTGGAAGAATGAAGAAATGTTGGCATTACATATTGTTTCTAAAAGCGAAAAATCCTGATCTTTAAAACAAAATCTCAGTACCTTTATATTGTACAAATCTAACATAAAATTTACTACTGTAACCATTTTTAAATCTTATTTTATTATAATTATGCTGTACCAGAGGGGTTACTGTTACATGACTAAGGCAATGAGTAGATTACTTGTTGATCAATTTTACTCCTTCCCTTGTTGATGTCCCACTATCCCTTCCCTCCGCCACTACTGCAACCATTTTTAAGTGTATATGTAGTTTAGTTGCATTAAATACATTTACCTTGTAAATATGCAGAACTTTTTAACTACTTAGGCTGAAATTGTACCCATTAAACAATAACTTCATTCTTCCTTACCTTCTAGCTGCAGCAATGGATATTCTATTTTCTGTCCCTATCAATTTGATTATACTAGGTGACTCATGTACATAGGATTATCTAACAATTTATATCAAAATTTTATGACTTCTCCCATATTTCAAATGGGTTGGGATAATTATTGAAACATTTTAATCCTAAATAATCATATTAAGTACAGCAGAAGCAGAACAGGAGCCTGTATAGAGCCTCTCAGGAATGTGTCTATGTGATACATGTAAAGCTTCCACGTATAGTGTAGGGATCCTTGGGTGGGCCTTACAGGGGAACCAGAGTTGTCTTTCTCCCTTACCAGAGTCAAGCTGAAGCCTCTAGTCTAGGTACAAAGGGAAATGCCACATGAGGATGAGGAGCCGTGGAGCTAATGATGGTATATGGTCTTAGTGAAAAACCTGAACCATTACCACTCACAACTGTCAGTCATCTTCCTACAAAAATGGGCAGGTGGACTCTAGAGCTGGACCTGAATCTCAGAGAAACAGATAGGTGATACATTGTACTAGTAAACATATTGAACAGAAACCGTTTTGTACAACTACTTAATTTTTTAAAAAAGTAAAACATAAAAGAATATATCTAGCCTATATACCTATGCCTTTGGGATCACTTACAAACTCTATTGTAAAATAATCTTGACCTATAGCAAAATGTCTCTAATTGAAAAATGCACAATATTTTACAGGCCTACTTTATATAGACCTTTAGGGGTTCAATAAGATATAGGAAGTAGAAGAAATGGAAAAAGGGACCATGCTTTTCAGTCGGCTGAATTACAACAACATGAACATGTCCCATCTGGTACTGAAGTGTCTGCATGCAACCCAATAAGCAGATGGTTTGATTAAAGCACATATTTGTTTTGTAGCTAAAATCTGTTCTGATGCCCCCACTGGGAGCAAGCAGAAACCGATTGACTAACTTGACTGATTCAGACGAAGAAGCTACTACCTCAGGGAGCACCATTTCCCCGCCTGATTTGTTACCAAGGCAAGAATGGGAACAGGTAGGTAATCAAAAGTCTTTTCCAGAGTAGTAAACAAAACACCAGCTTAGATGCTGTTGTCCTTTACAATATAACTTAAAACGACTTTACATTTATTGCCAGATCCTATTATCTCTTCACTAGCTCTACCATTTGAGTCACTCCAAATTTCTTTGTGTGTGTGTGGGTGGTCCTGGGGCTTGAACTCAGAGCCTTGGGAACTATTCCTAAGGGGTTTTTTTTGTTTTTTGTTTTTTTTTGCTCAAGGCTAGTGCTACTACTTGAGCCACAGCTCCACGGGGTTGATGTTTTGTTTTTGTTGTTGTTGTTGGTCATGGGGCTAAAATCTGTGCTGATGCCAGTAATCCAGTAGATTTTAGTATATTCACAACTATCCAGCTATCACTGTAATCTAACTTTATAACAGTTTTGTCACCCCAGAACAAACTCCATGCTTTTTTTTTCCCCTTTGGGAACTCATGGGGCATGAACGAAGGGCCTGGGTGCTATCCATGAGCTTTTATTGCTTAAGCCTAGCACTCTACCACTTTGAGCCACAGCTCTACTTCAATTTTCTGGTGGTTAATTGGCGATTAGTGTTTCATGGACTTTCCTGCCCGGACTGACTTTGAACCTAGATCCTTAAATCTCTGCTGTATGAATAGCTAGGATTACAGGATTGATCTATCAGTGTCTGGCACAAACTCCATACTTTTTAGCAGTCGCTCAACTCCATCAACTTCCTTCACCATTTTTAGATAATCACTACCTAATTTATTCATTTATTTATTTAGGAATTTGTTTATTCTGTGCATGTTATTGAAATGGACATGTAAAGGACATGGACTCTTTTGTCTGGTAGCTTTCAGTTAGGAAGGTATTCTTTAAATTCCTGATTGCTGTATCATGTGTCAACATTTTTATTTCTTTTTCTTTGTGAATCATATTCCATTGAATGAACAGACCAAGTAGAGACATGGTTCAAGTGATAGAATATATCAAGTGGTAAAACATATCTCTATGAGCATATCAGGAGTGCCTAATGTGAGCCAGGTGCTGCTTGTAATCATAGCTACTCAGGAGATTGAAATTCAAGGAGGATTGTGGTTTGAATTCAGCCTAGACAGAAAAGTCTGAGGAACAGAAAAGAAATACCAACCTTGGGTTTTGAAGGCATGGCTCAATTGTTAGAGTACCAGACAATAAGCAAAAGTGTCAGGTATTGAGTTTGAGTCTTGTGACCAAAAAAATAGAGAAAAAAGTAAAGGAAAAAGAAGTCTTATACTACTATTACCTACAATTAATCAAAAGAGCCAGGCACTGGTGGCTTATGCCTATAATCCTAACTACTCAGGAGACTGAGAACTGAGGATCGTGGTTCAAAGCCAGTCCAGGAAGAAAGGCTGTGAGACCAATGAACTACCAGAAAACTGGAAGTAGCATTGTGACTGAAGTGATAGAGCACTCACCTTGAGCTGAAGAGCTGAGGGACAGCGCCCAGGCCCAGAGTTAAAAATTAACCAAAAGAGCCAGAAATGGAAGTGTGGCTCACCAGCCTTGAGTGAAAAAGCTAAGCGGAAGTGCCCTGGCCCTAAATTCAAGCCCCAGTACTGTGTAAATGCACGTATATATGCAAACACACACACATACAGAGATCCCTAGTATGTGTTCGTTGAAGATAAAATAACTTTTTGTTCATCAGTTGTAAAAAGTTAGATTTTTTTCAGAGCAAAGAAAGAAAAATCAAGCACTGAATCTTTACAGGTATCAAGTGTTTCCACCTTGTATAGTATAGTATATGGTCATTGCTAAACTGGTTATTGGAGATGAGAAGAAAGATAAGTAGGGGTAGTAAAGGGCATTATGATTATGCTTGAAAGAGTACATGGAAGAAAAGTGTCTGAAACAATTTTGAGGGAAGAATGGAGAATATTCTTTGGGAACCTTGGGTTAAATTTCTGGAAGGTAAGTTGGAATCTGGCAAGACAGACTTATTTGTAAGTAGTAGCCTAATTTGGTTTTATTGTCCCAAGATTATTGACCTTCTGTGGAGTGATCCCAAAGGCAAGAATGGTTGTTATCCAAACACAAGTCGAGGAGGGGGCTGCTACTTTGGACCAGATGTTACTGCCAAATTTCTTAATAAATACCACTTGAAGATGATCATTAGATCTCATGAGTGCAAGCCTGATGGGTATGATATCTGCCATGATGGAAAGGTGAGCTGCCATCACTGGTGACACCCTCAACCCACCTGTAGTGCTTTCTGCACAGTTGGTTTTGTCTGACCTAGAAGCCCAGGAGCGGATACCTTCCTCAGTGATAAACAGAAACTAGAGACTGCAGGTTTCACCTAGATTACTTGAAGGAGCCTCATTGTCACTATATCCCAAGCAAGATTTGATTCATTTCCTGATGTTCACTTGTCCCAGAAACAAATTCTATTACATGACACTACATACATGTATAGAATAAGTTCATTCTATACTAACTGTAAACCAATTTCCCACTGCTTTTCCTCAGCAGTGAAGCCCCTCTTTGCATGTTCCCTGTGCAGAACAGAAGACCCAAAACACAGTTCTTTCCACTGGCTGATGAGGCAGTTTCCCACAAATTGCTCTTCGTGGTCAGTTGAGAGACGGCCACTGAAGTGGAGTCTGATGTCCCCCTGCAGTGGTGTCAGTAAGGCTAGAAGTGGTGTCCTGGGCTACCTCTGTTTCCATAGTGAACAGCAGCAAATAAGAATGAATTCCAGATTGGATAGCACTTCTTTCCATAGCAATGCTTTCCTTAATTCTATTGACTTATTTTGGGCTAATACTAACATTGCAAGATGAATGTAAGATTTCTTTGTTATGAGAAAGTGGAAAACATGGTGGCTTATCTGAAGTGATGTGCTCAGTAGCACAGAACTGGGCCAGAATACCGGTTGTCATTTCTACCATGTTCACAGCGAGTTCCATCTGAAGATAGTGACTGGACCCTTAGTCCATACATTATTTCTGTGCTCTTGAAGCTCTAGTTTTGTGGGGCTCTGAACCTGCTCAATTGTTCATACAATGAGAATTTGGATGAGTAGTTAGGATCTGTGTATCCTGGAGACAGTGAGTGACAAGCTTTCTTTTTATTCCAGTGGAAGTCATGTCACACTTGGATAATTTGCAGGCACTGTGAGCTTTGTTTGCTTTTAAAGAATTGAACTGTTTTTGCCTTTCTTGAATGACCTTTGAGAACTCATTTTATTGAGGCTTACCTTCTTTTTCTTTAATTAGGTAATTACAGTTTTCTCTGCCTCTAATTATTATGAAGACAGTAGCAACCGGGGAGCTTACATCAAACTGGCTTATGGCATGATGCTTCGATTTTTCCAATACCGAGTAGCTGGGGCATCATGTCTAATCCATCTTTCCCAAAGGTGTGTATGTTCTAAGAATGCCAAGAATTAAATATTAATGATCATGTGACAGCAGTGCCAGGTGACTGAGTAGCCACACAAACAAGTTATCAACAAAGACACAAACAAGTGGTGAACGTACCCATATTGGATAGCACAGGGGACAATTTTCAATTCATAAGAAGCCATTACTCATAAGTGTAGCGAAGTATAACACAAAAGCCTTCATCCTCACTCTGTCCCTTTACTTACAACCTTCTCTACCCTACCTCAACCCTCTCTACCTCATCTGGTCTTTTGCTTTCTTTATCCAGAAATATATATGACTAAAATTTTCAATATTTTCATTGTTTAACCTTTTTCCTGAAACATTATCTTTTTATTTATATATATTTCAAAACCATTATGCTTATTATTAATAAGTGAGAAAAAAATAAATATAAATAAAATGCTAATTACCTGTTACTCTTCTCAATCCCTTTTCTCATAAGTAATTAGCATGAATACAAGAGATATCCTCTCCTGTCCTTTTATTTTTAGGAGTAGCCAAAAGATTGTTAATTTGTTGTTCAAAATAGCTTGTGAGCCTTTCATACGTGGCAGGTACTGTCTTAGTAGGTACAAGTTTGGGCATAGCAGTAGGCATAACAGACAAAACTCTCTTTATCTAATATGAAGAGACAAATACGTGTATCTTTTCACAAAGATAGATTTAATTGCATCCTGTGTGGTACCTGTGACTGATGTCTGTAATCCTTGCTGCTCAGAAGGCTGAGATCTTGAATATCACATGTTTGAAGCCAGCCTAGATTGATAAATCCAAGAGACTTCTTAGCTCCAGTTAGCCAGGAAAAAAACCTGGGAGACATGGGTCGTATAGTAGAGTGCCAGCCTTGAGTAGAAAAGCCAAGTTGAGAACATCAGGTTTTGAATCCAAGCCTCAGTAGCAGCACACAAAAAAGTAGTTATACCCTCTATTTTGAAAATGACTTTTTCATAAGTATTATATAATGCATATCACTTCATGTTAGGATACATAAACCTATTTAATTTTACTAGATGCATAATATTCCATTGTACATATGTGTCATAGCAGTTGTGGAGAAGCTAAATATTCAACACATTTCTCCCAAGGTTTTCTTTTACAAACAATACTATAAAATCTTTCCTACCTATAGAGAAACACATAGAGCTCAAAGTAAAAGAACCAAACAAATTAAATTTAAAAATGGACATATTTCTATGAAATATTCCAAAATGTTAAAAATCCCAGAAATCTAAAATATTGTTGTTGTCATGTTTTTTGGATGAAGGATACTAAATGTAATGTTTTAAAACTAAGAGATGTGTAGTGAACTTTAAAATTCCTTCAAAGATCCTTTCACTGGACTGTCCTGATTTCAGTATGAATTTAGAATCAGCTTGTCAACTTGCAAAAAAATAATACCAAGTACAATTTTATTAGGGTATTTGTTATATCTGTAGATTAATTTGTGTGCATTTCCACCTCAATAATAGTAAGCCTTCTAATCTGTGGACATGGAATATTGTTTAACTCATTTAGATTACATATAATTTCCTTCAACAGTGTTTTGTACTTTTCATAAACAAATCTGAGACTAATTTTGTTAAATTTATTTCTTTTTAAAAATTTTCTTGATGTGGAGTTTTTATGGAGTTTAGTGGTATTAGTTTTTTATTATCTTTAAATAGTTGTGCAAAGGAGTTGCCATTCAAGAAAGCAGTTTGTGAATGTCATGAATCTTAATCAATGTCATTCTCTCATCATTCTCCCCCATTCCTCCCACCCCCACCTCTTCCCTCAATTTTCTTAATTTTGTGGGATATATATTGAATTTTGTTATTACATTCTCCCCCACTTCTTCTCCCCATTCATATACCCTCCAAATTTCTTTCGAAACGTTCTTTTGGTGCTATAATAGAGCTACTTTCTGAATTTCTTTTTGGATTGTTCATTTCCAGTATCTAGAGACTTTCATGTATGAATCTCATATTATGCAATCTTAATGAACATACTGATTTGGTCTATTAGTTTATAGTGAATTCCTTGGGATTTTCTATCCAGTAGACCTTTGATATCCCTCGTACCATCTAGGGAACCACCATTAGGAAACATTGTGAATGCTCAGGGAGTATGGAGTTCAGTACTCTACTGTGGATGCTTGACTCACTTTTCCCAGATGCTGTGCAATTTCCACTAACGACACACTGCCTTTCAAGAAATCTAAAAACTTCACTCTGTCACTTAATTTACTTACATTGTAAGCCCGTTTTGGCCTGGGAGGATTACCATAACTTTTACGTTGCTTTTTTAGCACCATTTGCTGTTGGGGTTGTTTATTTCATAATTGCAGGGCAGGGAAACACTCAACAGATCACATAATCATTTAAGTACAGCTGATGATAATGAAGGTCTATGACTGACTATTGAGAGCTTTTCCACTTCAATTGAGGTAACACGAAATGTTGTTGTTGGTGGTGATGGTCATGGGGTTTGAACTCAGGGTTTGTCCCTAGCTCTTTTTGCTCAAGGCTAGTGCTCTACCACTTTGAGTACAGTTCCACTTCTGATTTTTAGGTGGTTAATTGGAGATGAGTCTTACAGACTTTCCTGCCCAGACTGCCTTTGAACCGCAGTCCTCATATCTCAGCCTTTTGAATAGCTACAATTACAGGCATGAGCCACCAACATGGGTATTATAAAATTTTTACATTAAAATGTTGGTGTAAAATGGGAGATTATAATCCCAGCACGTAGGAAGCAGAAGTCATAGGATTGTGAGTTCCAGATGAGCTTGGGATACTTAGGAAAACAATTCAGAAAATCTATGCAGATACATGCCCTCTCTCTCTCTCTCTCTCTCTCTCTCTCTCTCACACACACACACACACACACACACACACACACACACACACACACACGTGTACGTGCACTGAAAAGTGATCTGATATGTATAAATTAAGGTGATTAATTTATAAAGTGGGGAATGGTAACAGAACATACCAGGGTAATTTATGTAACTTCCACCTAATTTTGTTCTACTTCCTACAGGATTCATACTTTGGAAAGAAATGCCATCCGGATATTAAAAGCAAAAATAATTTCACGAAGATCTGACCTCATATCTGCCTTCTATCTTCGAGACTACAGTAAATCAGGTGATAAAATTATAAAGTTCTTCTATTTCTTAGAATATTAGGTTACATACAGATTGGTTTTCATTTTCTTTGCTTCCTTGGAATTTCATTTTTTTTTTTTTGACAGTACTGGGATTTGAACTCAGGGTTTTATGCTTTTTTCCTGCATCAATGATGGTAATTTTAAGCTCTTTCCTGTACATTTATTTTATTTTTATTTTTATTTTTTGGGGTCCGGTCGTGGGGCCTGAACTCTTGGCCTGGGTGCTGTCCCTCAGCTCTTCAGCTCAAGGCTAGCACTCTACCACTTGACCCACGGCGCCACTTCTGGCTTTTTTTTTCTTTCTGCTTATGTGGTGCTGAAGAATCGAACCCAGGGCCTTAAGCACGCAAGGCAAGCGCTCTACCACTGAGCCAACTTCCCAGCCCCCGGAATTTCATTTTTTCATCTCTGTTAGAAAAAAGATTGTTGAGTGATGAACATGAAGCCCAGAGTTCAGGCTCCAGTATAAACATACTCTCTCTTTTAATCTAATATTCATTCAAAAGAGTCATATATCTCTTTTCAGTAAGCCTCTTTTAACTCAAAGTGAATAACATTCCTGAGTTAGACCTCAAGAAGAATATTAATAACTAGCTTGATTCTGGGAGATGCTGAATTATAACTAATTTATCAGCTTCACAGTATGGTCAGTCTTTTGGCTGCATCACCATTCCTACAAGAGATTATTTGAGCAAGGCATGGTGATACAAACCTGTAATCCTGGCAATGGAGAGGGTCAGACAGTCGGTCTGACATAATGAGACCTAGTGTAAAATAAAAGAAGAAAAAAAAGATTTTAACCATATGAGGAAGCATGGAGCAACAAACAAGCACACAAAGCTGAATTATCCTGTGACAATTGCTAATATAATTATGGATTCATCCTGTGAACAAACTCCAATACAGTAGAAAGATGGGATAGTTGCATTGGACTTCCACATTTTGTCTCTACTCTCAATGCCCCTGGCAAAGAAATCTATCTTTGATGGGAATATCTCTTAATTTTAGGCACTGGTATATCCAAGAACTTAAGATCAACCCTCATGTTCTCATAACCTACGAAGATTACAAACAATAACATAAGTAGAGTCATTAGAAAAAAACATGATGTTTGGCTCCCCTATGCCATAAGATGTTGGGATCATCAAACACAAAGTATAAATTATCTAAAGAAATAAAAGGCTTAGTGCTGGTGGCTCATGCCTGTAATCCTAGCTATTCAAGAGACTGAGATCTGAGGATCACGGTTCGAAGCCAGCCCAGGCAGGACCATCTGTGAGACTCTTCTACTAACCACCAGAAAATCAGAAGTGGCTCTCTGGCTGAAGTGATAGAGCTCTCGCCCAGGCCCAGAGTTCAAGCCCCATGACCGACAAAAATAAAAAAGATTAAGCATTATGAACAGTGAGAGCTAGGCATAGTGACACATGCATGTAATCCCAACTACTTGGGAAGGAGAGGCAAGAGGATTGTGTGAAGACTATGTCTTTAAAATAAAAACCAAAGGGCTTAGGGCATAGCCCTGCTTGCTTATCAATATTCACACAAAAAAAGAGAAAGCCTTGAAACAGTGAGTCTAGATTGCCAGACCCCTCCTCAAACAAAAAAACAAAACCAAACCAAGGAAGAGCAACAGAATCAAAGAACTGAAAAGAGATATGAACAACATGAGAAAGTTTAGCAAACATCTAATCAATGTGTTAGGGAGAGAATAGAACATAAGAATAAGAGTGCTTGAGAGTATCCAAGAACTGATGAAAATTTCGGAATAGTAAAGAGAAGTAATATTAAAATTAAGTCCACACATATGTGCACTTAGACTAAAGCTACAATGGCAAAAATGAATTCTTAAAAGCAAGCAGATATACATATATTGCTAGAAAGACACAATAGTAGATTGATAGATTATTCAATTGCAAAAGAATCCAAGAGATAGTCAAATCTTACTATATATAGTTACTATATAAGAACACCATGAATCCACTAACAAAACCAGAATAACTCCATTAACAGCAAGCAGAATAAACTAAGCAATGCATATTACTAGAAATAAAAATTGCACATATATGTGTATGCACATATATATTTTATGTCTTCTGTTGATTTCAAATGTTCTATAATAAGCATAACTTTTCCCCCTTAATCAGAAAAAAGAAACATAGCCCAAATATCCCAAATGAGATTTCTTACACAGGACAGGAAAGGTAAAATTTGTGGAGTATTAAAGCCTGTCTTTATTTATTCAGGACAGATCATGAAAAACAGCCTGTTCCCTGGTCTCAAACCCAAAGCTAGGCCTCTGGCTGTACCTGATAGCTTGCATGTTTCCTTTCAAATTCTATACAAATAATACGGGCTTTTGTGCTGTTGTCAGGAAAAATTTCAGTAGCCCAGTGGGCTTTTACTGTGGAAAACACTTTGGGGTTGAACTTGCCTTGGAGAGCTCTTAGTCCACATCTGGTGAATATAGACAGCGATGGAAATGTTGACTACATGTCTTGCTTTGAGGATGTCAAAATCGAAAATTCTCCGGAAAAAGTAAGTATCACTTGTTATAAGATAAAATCTGGCTGTAAGAAATGCACACTTTGGACAAGCTCTAAGCAACATAAGGCTTTGAAAAGTTGAGAGCTGGTCTCATGTAATGGATGGGAATGGCAGGCAAAGACAAGACCAAGGTAGGTGTCTCCATGGTGACCTATTTAGGAAATGTATGTATTCTCTAGAATGAGCAACATGGAAAATGAAAGCAAGCCCATGCTGAATAGAGGATTCTTATTTTAACTTTTTTTTCTTTTTTTTTATAGAAAATTTTTTATTGTGATTTTATTGATTGCAAATTGTCTTTATTGTGGTCTATAAAGTTTGAGTTCTATGAGCTTTGATAATAGTTATTTCTTCCACATCAGGTGATATGTACAGTTCTTTCCTTTTGCTTAGTGTCAGCTGTTCCCTCTTTCCCACTCAGTCCCTCCCTCCCATCGCTGCCATTGAGTTGCTTATTTTAACTTTTGTCCAGATGTGACATTATTTCCTTGTGCCACACACATTTGAAATACTTCACATATTTCCTAACCATGTAATAGTTGCCGAACCCAGTCTATGCATTAAAAAATTTCAAAATGTATGGTACCTTATTAAAATGTCAGTATCTCAGGGAGAGTAATTGGATTCCAGTCCCTATTGATGAGCATTTCATCAGCAATTAATTATAACACTGAGCTTGTTGGAGCTAGGACTTGTGAGCATTTGGGGACTGATGAGAAAAACAGAGAAGAGAAATAAAATGGTATGGTTGGAAACTAAAATATCCCCAGGAAGGAGGTGTTTAACTTCACTTCAGTGCCATTTTGCCATAGTGATTTAGATCATAGGGATTGGCTTGATAATGCTGAGACTCAAATCTCATGTAATAGCTACATGACTGTTGGTAAAGTTATTTGTCTCTCATGTTTTCTTGTCTGTAGGATGGAACAAACAATCTGTTCCTATTCCTTAGGGTTGTAAAGGACCAAATGAAATAATCCACACAAGCTTTCTGTAAACATTGGCAGTTGTTATTTAGTGCTTCCTTACATTGTTCTCCTAAGGAGCACAAGAACAAGCTCCTTAGTGTGATTGAAGATTGATTGGGCCAAAGGAAAGCTTGCTGCCTTGAATTTGATTTAAAACCCCATCATTGCAATTGGTGGGTTTGTTGTATAGCTCAGTTGGAGAATAGGGATACAAGATGATCTTGGGTTCTATTTCTACCATAATACACATAGAGAGAAAAGAGAGAGGAAAAGAAGGGGACAAGACAAATGGAAAGGAGAAGTTGGTGGGGATGTTTTGTGTTTTTTACAATTGCTATAATTGATCTCTGTCCTTAATTCTTAAAGTTTTAACACTTAAAAAAAATCTTTATTTTAGATGAAAACGCCTCTAATTGAAACTATGTACAGGTACCGATCTGATCTGAAACTAATATTCAATCTCATTCATTGCGATCACTCAGGTAAGTACACTTTCACTAGTTCAGTAGTAGAAAATAAAGCAAAGCAGTCTGTTTCTCCAAAATCAGAATTCTATTTTTACCTATTTCATTCTTCATCCAAACTTGATGAAACTTGAAATGACAAACTTTAACATTATTTATGTTTTAGTTTGGCCACAAATTTAAGAACACAGAGTTCTACAATAAGTCTGTGTATCCATTGGTCTCACTGGGACAGATCCATTTATAAATCACCAGCAGGGATGAAAATGTAATTCTAGTTTAAAATCTTAGTTACTCGTAGTTATTCTTAGAATTGTGGTTCTATTTTAGACATTGGAAACTATGTATTTAGTTCTGATGCACATTTATTCTCAAACTTAAAAAGGCAGTCATCAGAGCTAGAAATGAAGCTTTAGTGGTAGCGTGCTTGCCCAGAATGCATGAAGCCCTAGGTTCCCTCTCCAGTATTGTGTGTGAAACCATGCATACACATATAAATCAGAAATTCCTCTGCTGCAGAGATATTTGAACACCAAAAAGCATCAAACAGTGAGTGGTTGATCCATTAAGATTAATTGTTGACTTTAAAAGGCAACTGACTATTGGTTGGAATTCTCTTACTGACTTCCAGCGTGCTTTTTTTCTCTGCTTTGATATTTCTCTGATCTGCCATCTTTCTATCATACTTGAATTTTATTTAGGTTTTGTAATTTGCGTGTGTGTGTGTGTGTGTGTGTGTGTGTGTGTGTGTGTGAATGTAGGCGTGTGCACTCCGGTTCTAGGATTTGAACATGGGGCCTCGCTGATATCCCTGAGCCACAGACCCTCTTCCATTTTTTATTGCTGTTTTTGTAGTTAAGTGGAGATGAAGTTCTCACAGGCTGGTTTTGAACCGAAGTCCTTAGATCTCAGCCTCCTGAGGAGCTAGAATTATAGGCATGAGTCACTGGCACCTGACTGAAAGGTTTTCATACCACATTTAATCCTATAGTTTTTATCCCCTCTCTTGTTTTTTTCACTTGAGTTTTCTCTTGGTGGCTTTAGAATAATCTTAGGATTCTTAGTAGTTAAAAGTGATACATTGTTTCTTCCACTTACAACCTTTTTCTTCTCTTTCTTTCAGTATCTTGATTGTCTGGTATGTTAGAGAGCTTCTAATTCATACTATTTAGTGTGGCTTCCAAGGCCCTCCCTTAGGTGGTATTTAAATAAACACTCAATGCTTTCTCCTATATTCTTTTTTTTTTTTTTTTGGGTCCGGACGTGGGGCCTGAACTCAGGGCCTGGGCACTGTCCCTCAGCTCTTCAGCTCAAGGCTAGCGCTCTACCACTTGAGCCACAGCGCCACTTCCGGCTTTTTTTCTTTTTGCTTATGTGGTACTGAGGAATCGAACCCAGGGCCTCATGCATGCAAGGCAAGCACTCTACCACTGAGCCACCTTCCCAGCCCCTCCTATATTCTTTTAGGCCTAATCTCCATGAAAACATTTTTGGCCATGTGGAAAATTTTCAGTTCTCACTACAGTGTTTGTATTGATGACTTTCAAGTTGATGAGCTTGCCAACACAATGGATTTAAATGAATTTTTTAAGACGTTCTATGTAGTGCATAAACATGACAAGTTGAATACATAAAACGCCCAAGTTTACTAACTTTAAATGAAGGTTCCTCTCAGGCTTGTTGGAATCAAAATTGCAGTCTTTTCGAGAATATTCAAAATCCATAGTTAATGAAAGCGAAAAGTAGACTCCAGTTCACACCACAAACAGAGTCAATATGAATATTGGAAGTCCTTTACCAACTGTTCTTGTCAATAAGTTAAATATTAGCTGTTAAAATTTGCCCCCAGTGTTAGGGCCTACTCATTACCAGTAAGAAATAGGTGTTGGAACTTAGCATTGGTTTCTCGGAGGTCTCTTTAGGAGATAGCAAATTTGAAACACTGCAAAAGATCCCACAGAGCCTTAGAGAAAACTATTGAGCGCAATGGACTGAGGGGTGGGAGGAGGAATACCAAACTCTTAATGGAATAAACTATTTCCATCTTTAAAGTGTAATCTTTTTTGGAGATTCCACAAGCCAGCGATCCTCAGTTGTGGAGAAACCACAATATGATGGTAGGCATATCAAATCTTTGGGGGGGAAATTGTAGAATCAGCCCTACTTTTTCTTGTCTGTTGGAGATGCAAAGTCAATACATCCCGATTGATCCCTGTGATGAATATGGTCTGACAACTTTGTTGATAAGATAGGATCTTGATCATCCACAGATCATGTATTCTGCTATTCTGATCACATATCAAACATAGTAATGTTTCTGCTGAAGAGCATAGATTTTTGTGAGTTCTGGTTCTACAACTTGAATTCAGTTCAAAGTCTGCCTGAGCTGGCTTTGAATCGTGTTCCTCAGATCTCAGCCTCCTGAGTAACTAGTATTACGGCATGAGCCACCAAGTGCCTAGCTCAGGTTTCTTTCTTTTTTGTGTGCCATTGTTGGGACTTGAACTTGGGCCTGGGTGCTGTCCCTGACCTTTTTGTGCTCATGGACTATCCTGCCAGGCTAGTTTCAAACCATGATTCTAGGATTTCAGCCTTCCGAACAGTCAGGTTTCATTTTTTTTGAAAGTTCTAAATACCACGATCTAGACACAGACCAGATCCTATAACATGTCTATTACCCACACTAGAAATAGTGAGTAAACTATAATAAATGTCCTTCTTAAATCATAACAGCAACTTTAAAAACATTTTGGGATAGAAGATATAATTAAGATGATTATTATGCATATATTAAAATAAGGCAGAACAGACTTTAAGGAAGGTATGTAATTGGGGATAAAAAAGATGATTACTAAATGCTAGAAGGAATAATTTGCCACAAAAATAAAATAATTAAGAGATATATCTAATAATAAGATAAATGCTCTAAAATTGGTAATACAAAAACAACACTATCATGAGTTAAAATTGTTATACCTTTGTTAGTAATTGATCATATACATTAAAATTAAAATTAGTGTATGTATGCAAGATTGTATAGAGCAGTTAGTATACCTGATGCTATGAGTAGGTAATATGTAGAAATAAGAATACTGTGTGTTTATATACACATTGATAGAATTTTGCATTTAAAATTTTACATTTTTGGGCCAGTTCCAGGTACTGTCCCTGAGCTTCTGGGCTTAAGTCTAGCATTATCCCACTTTGAATCACAACTCTACTTCTGGCTTTTTGGAAGTAAATTGGAGATGAGTCTCATGGACTTTTCTGCCTGGGCTGGCTTTGAATAACAATCCTCAGATCTCAGCCTCCTAAATAGGATTATAGGTGTGAGCCGCTGATACCTGACTACATATTATTAGTATTATTATTATTACTCTTATTATTTGTCGGTCGTGGGTCTTGAACTCTGTGCCTTGGCGCCCATCCCTGAGCACTTCTGCTCAAAGCAAGTGCTCTGCCACGTGAGCCACAGCACCACTTCCAGTTTTCTGGTGGTTCATTGGAGATAAAGAGTCTCACAGACATTTCTGCCCAGGCTGGCTTTGAACCACGATCCTCAGATCTTAGCCTCCTGAGTAGCTAGGATTACAGGCATGAGCCACTGGTGCCCAGCCACATATTTTTAAATGCACAAGAAATACCAAATAACAAAAGCTTTTATATTCTCCCTTTATAATGCAAATTAAAAATATTAGAAGGTAATTCCTAATAAATGAATGAAAAGGGAATATAACTGTAGCTCTACCAGAAAATGTAAAAAACAGAAAAAAGTACTTTACAAGAATCTTTTTTTTTTTTTTTTTTTGGTCCGGTCGTGGGGCCTGAACTCTGGGCCTGGGTGCTGTCCCTCAGCTCTTCAGCTCAAGGCTAGCATTTTACCACTTGAGCCACAGCGCCACTTCTGGCTTTTTTTTTTCTTATGTGGTGCTGAGGAATCGTACCCAGGGCCTCGAGCATGCAAGGCAAGTGCTCTACCACTGAGCCACCTTCCCAGCCCCCACAGGAATCTTGTGAATAAATTTATGCCAGCTTTGATTTATTTTTGTGCTGGTACTAGGGCTTGAACTCAAGGCCTGAGTGCTGTCCCTGAATGTTTGTATTCAAGGCTCAGTTTGAGCCACAGAACCATTTCCTGATTTTTGGTGGTTAATTGGAGATAAGAGTCTTATGGACTTTCCTGCCCAGCCTGGCCTTGAACCTTGATCCTCAGAGCTCAGCCTCTTGCATAGCTAGGATTTTATAGGTATAAGCCACTGACCCGTGGCTTATGCCAACTTTTTAATGAAAAATTTAAAATTATATATGTATTAGGGGTATAATAGGATGCCAATCATTTTTAAACTAGGTCACTGGACAGTTTTCTTTGGGAAAACATAATTTATTAAAGCAAAGTCAAAAACAAAAGAATCTGAAGAAATAGTACAACCATTGAAAAATAAAAGATGGCTTTTTTGTTGGTTAGGGGGCTTGATCTCAGGGCCTGGGCCTTGTCTGTAAGCCTCTTTGTGCTCAAGGTAGCACTTTACCACTTGAGCCACAGTGCTACTTCAGTTTTTCAGTGGTTAACTGGAGATGAGATTCTCACAAGGACTTTTCTGCCCAGGTTGGCTTTGATGTGTGATCCTCAGATCTCAGCCTTCTGATTATAGGCATGAGCCACCAGCTCCTGGCAAGATGGCTTTTTATAGTGAGTCATTATGGCCAGGACAAACTTAGAATTTTCTTCTTACAAGTTTTTGATTAGGGTGGGCCACAAGGGAAATTTTGGAGAGATTTGAAAATGCAAAGGGAATCAGTAGTCTTTTTGTAACTCACACCTACTGATCTACGGACTGACCTTGTTGGCATGAGACGAGAAATAGCCTGCAATTGCTCTACCCTTGTAGCTTCTTTGATTTCTGGGCTATGTATATGTGCATCACGCCATGATGTATGACATCCCCATCATGAAGGTCAGAGGCAAAAGAATGGCTATAAGCTTCAGTATCTTACTATGGGTGCCAGTGCATGCATGTGGGTTTCAGCTGGCTTGCGATCTACCTGACTGCTTGCTATGCAAACAGCAGATATAGAGACCACAACCTTACAGTGACTGCTTAACTGTCTTCCATGCTTACAGAAGTCACTTCTACTAGATATGCAGAATCTGTGTCAGTGAATATGTGAGCATGCGCACTCACATAGAATCATGTTTATATGTCACTTCATGATGGATATATTCTGAGAAATTCATGATTAGATGAGTTCATGATAGTGTGAACCTCACAGTGTTCTTATAAAAACTAAGAGCTATAATACCACTAATCTTATGGGATCAAGATCATACGTGCAGTCTGTTTGTTTGTTTGTTTGTTTTAATTTTATTTTTGCCAGGCCTAGGGATTGAACTCAGCACCTGGGCACCATCCCCAAGCTTCTTTTTGCTCAAGGCTAGCACTTCTGGCTTTTTCTGCTTATGTGGTGCTGAGGAATCAAACCCAGGTCTTCATGCATGCCAGGCAAGCACTCTACCACTGAGCCACCTTCCCAGCCCCATATGTGCAGTCTATCATTGACCGAATGTAATCATGTGCCACATGACTATTGCCTACTGGTCTTCTGTGGTTGGACTATCACAAATGCAGAATTTAGTACTGGGAATGGTTTCAGAACAACAGACCTTAAGGATAAGTGTTCTGTATTTGTCCTGGGTTTTCTGGAACTAGTTCCCAAGTATGATTAGATTTAAAAGCATTTTCCACAAATGAAGAGCATGCTCGTAGTCCTTGGCAGGAAGGAGCAAAATGTTTACTCAAATGATCACCTTTAATCAAGAACCCACAGAAGGCAAGACACTGAGAGACTGAATATTTGGTACCTTAAGAGTATTTTAGTTAAAATACATTTGGTTGGGTTGGTTGATTGCTACTGAAGCAAGTGATCAGTACAAGGCTTTAAATTCCCAGCTGAAAGTTTCTATGATTACCCTGAGAGAAACTCTGACACTATAGCCAGAGGGCTGAGGTTTCTGAAAGGCAAACCCCAAGTCTCAGCCTGTGAATGGTTGAATGAAAATACAAATTGAATTCCCAACCCCACAGGGTCTCTGCTGTGATTTGACTGTCCTCTCCAATTGTGTTGAAATGTGATTGCCATTGTAAGAGTTAAGAAGTGGGACCTTTAAGAGGCAATTGAGAGTTGGAGGCTTTGCCTTTATGAGTGCTGTTATGGAGGTTCTGTTTAAAGGGTGAATTTTGCCTGACTTTGTTCTCTGCTTCACCTGTGCTTGCTTGTTCTTCTGCCAGGGTTAGTGCAACACAAAAGTACTCACCAGATGTTTGTACCATTTTTGGACTTACCATTGATGAAATTGTGAGCCAAATATATTTCTATTGTGTATTAATTATTCAATCTGGTTTTCTGTTAATACCAGCTCAACGAAGATGAAGTCTCTCGTTTAAGGGAAAGAATGGAATGAGGACCCCTGGGCAGATTATGATTCACATCTTTTCCCTAAACTCTTGAGTTACATCATTCCAAGAAGCAACCCTTCTCCTCTGCCTGAAGAAATTTTCTTTCCCTTTTGTCAAAAGACCTTAATTAACTTAGTACTTATTTCCATCATGTCTCTCTATTTAGTTTTTACAAGTAA